ATCGTTCGTTCATATTCTTCATTGGTGAATCTACTTATTGTAGGTGGATACTATATTGTATATATATATCTATAAAATGAATTTCAGTCATGAGGATTTGGGAGAAAATTCTGCGCGAACTCATTGGAATAATTAAGTGATATTTTTTGTTCAGATTGTGAAAAATTTATGATAACGCATATTCTGTAGATTAATATTATAAAATCAACCATTTTACTATACCTGAAAAATTGTCTTTATTTTACTGTCATATAGATTTCGATTAGCCCTAGAAATGAACTGAGAAATTTACGAACGCAAGCCAACACGGACAAACATAACATGCTACAACTATAATCAGCCAGTATAATTAAAGAACTTTGCTGATATTTAATTTTGTCCAAAGGCATTTACCATCAGCTGGGTCGGAAGGTTTAGTAATACGCTTTCTAATGTTATGAACACCAATGTAAGTTTGTTTATTTATTACAGTTTCACGGTTTAACTAGTTCACAGACAAATCATTAATTTTTCTGTAAAAGCCTGCAGAAAAAGGTTAGGGTTTCATCTAGAAAAAATAACTGTATTACAACTTTGGACACGAGTGTAGCCACGGACAAAATATATTATGCCAGTGCCGACGGTATAATGAAGTGCGCTAAGACATTCATTTCATAATAGAGAACACGATAGAGAACATAATAGAGAGCCTTAACCGTGAACATTTTTAGTATTGAGCTACTAGAATAAGACCTTTTAGTATATAATTGTTCGTTATTATATATTCGTTTACGTAGAAGTTGAAAATATTTTTAAATATTACGTATTATAAGGAGCTATTTCGGTTTACGAAGCGCACGCAGCGAAAGGAAAAAAAACGATTTTGAAACATTCTTCATTGATGCTCCGCTCCTATTGGTCTTAGCGTGATGATATGTAACCTATAGTGTTCCTCGATAAATGGGCTATCTAACACTGAAATATTTTTTTAAATCGGACCCGTAGTTCCTGAGATTAGCGCGTTTAAGCAACAAACCAACAAACTCTTCAGATTTGTAATATAATATTAGTATAGATTAGTTTTAATTACGTTTATATTAATAGGATAACAAACAATAACTTTACATCAAGCTAATTCGATTGAATTCCTACAAATAACCGCATCACTAGCCGTGTTGTCATTCGCATAGTGAGAAACTAAATTAACACTGCATAGCTTTAGCTACCCCATTCACTAGCAGGAACACACATCGTACATCAAATAAATTTATTTTACCTATTAAAAAAAATCATACGATTGAGTTTCATTGCTGTACAAGCACCGTCATAACCCGATTAAGAAGACATTTTTAATGTGAACCTTGGCAGCTTGCAGCGGGTGTTATGTCATTAGCCATTAACGCGCAACACTAGCGAGATAGTGTTGTGCCCGACAGATTTATAGCTCTCGGGTATATAGAATAAATCACTCGCGGGAACTGTACGGAGGGCGGGGAGGGTGTAGGGGTCGTACTCTTAGACACTACAGTTTGGTATCTATTGTTTTCTTTTTTTCATGGTATACCTACTTGTTAGTGGTCTTTGTGTTAGCATTTTAAATGTTGGTTTTTCAGCCAGCCTGTAGGTATATTTATAAAGCTTATTTAATGATATCAGTAACTATGTTCAAATTAAAAACAAAAAATAAAAATCTACCAAATACAGTCATACACGGGTGTTGCAAGCGTTTACAATTTACGATCACCTCTTCTCGTCAGATGTGCTATAGATTTGTTTAACTCATCAGGGGTACTTAAAAAAATACATACCTACAATGGGAAATACAGTAAGTATTAAATAAAGATATGTAGCTTCAAGCATTTTATATTTTTACTAGCATTTACTTGCACTTTAATTATTATCATAAATTAATATTCAGTCACTATTATTACTTTTTTTTTCATTTCGATGTTACCAATTAGGTATTTGCGTTAATACTATTCTGAACACCACTCGATAGTTTATTTTTTAGCATAATTTTTAGCCATACATTAAAACATAGGTTCTGCAAAAGGAGGATAAAAACAGAGGTAAGTTCATCTAGTTTAGGATATTTATCAGTATATTTGTTTTATCACTCATGCTCTGCCATCACAATGCAGAGAATTAACGATCTTTGAAATCTTTGAACGGGGACAACAGTAACAAAACAATTTGAGCTAACGGACTGGGGCACTAATACAAACAACATTCTGCCATATTCATTCAAAAATCATCATCATCAACAGCCTATACTAGTCCACTGCTGGTCATAGGCCTCTCCTTAGAAAGGAGGTTTGCAGTGCTGTTGTCCTGCTTAGTTTGCTCCCTTAGTCGGCTCTTACGACACCCACGGGATAAATTGGGGTGGTGACAATTTATATTCTTAATCCGTCACCACACGGATACAAAAATAATAGGTATTATTTACTAGTTCACTACTTTCGCATATTTTTTTAAATTCCCGTACCTAGTCAATCAACAACGACAAACAAAGTTAGTTAAATGTCATATCACTAATATTCTCGTCAAACTCTCCAATTAAGCTAAATGCTTGTGTTATAAGTGGATTTACGTAGCGACGGTATTATAATGGATTTTTTGAAGCCCGCACGTAAAACACATTAAGTTACAGTTTTGACTAAAAATACCTAAATATAGTAATTGATTTAAGTGTACAAAAATAGTGATCATAATTATGTAATTTGAACAACCACAGTACCTATTCCGCCCCTCCCCCTCCAGAATTACAAGTACGCGATTCTAACCTGCTTGAGCTGTTGCGTATACACTCTATATACGATATACACAATCCACATGAATAATCAAGATTTTTTCAAAAAAATCTTGATACCAAAAGTATGTTAAAAGGTATGTATGTATGTTAAAAGTATGTTAAAAAGTGGAGAAGAAGGAAAGCCTTCTTCTCCACCTTTTAAAATACTTTTGGTACTCCGCAATTTGCCCATGTTTATTTAATTCCCAAAGCATCGGTTGGCCGGCAATAGTCTTCACCGTATAACGTGTCTTTGACTTAATTATAGTTGCTATTTTTGTTTGTGAAAGTACTGATTTATATTCACCTCTTTCGGGGGTTCAGATAAAAAAGGTTAATTTTGATTAATGGGGTTTCACTTATACCTACGTAAGAAAAATCGAGATCGTACTTAGGTACTTATACGGCTACAGTTAGATACAATTAACAGCAAAAGCAACTGAGTTGAAATTAAAAGCAGACCTTTTCAAACAATCTTTCAACGCCAACTTCAAAAGGTTTGATTATTTTTAATAAATCGTTATAAAATGCAACAATACATGCAACAATAGCAAATAAATTAAAAAAATAAACATCGTTTTTAATAAGAAGTTTGTACTGTAGCAATATAAACTGGTTCATAATAATAAAAAAAAAACTAACGAGTTTGAAATAAGAATTTAACTATGAACAACATACTCGTAATTAATTTGTTTGTAAAAAAGCTTGAGGTACTTGACACGAAACGTAACAAATAGTTCATTGGTAGCAATTTAAAAAAGTAAAGTTACTATAAAATTACAGTAAAAAGTAAAATAACTATTATCCAAACTTTATTTTATTTAGAAGGCACTTTGTTCACTCTACCGAATCGATTTGCCCAAGCGTGGCTTGGTGAAACTTCACACGTAAAAGCTATGAACTAGCTATATTAGCGATTTTTAGACAACCAAGAAGTGCCGGCATACGTATTACGCCCAGGCAAATCTCGATCGGAACAGTTTAACGATTGGCCTAAACCAAAAAATAACCTTATATTTATTTATGTGACTATTTGATAACATATTGGTACATAAAAAAACAACTTGAACAATTTGCTTTGAGTAAAAGAAACAATTGTTTTGCTTATGTGAAGCAAACACATGATACATAAGGAACCGACAATCTCTAGGAGATCACTTAACTATAACTAAAAGCATTATGACACCTCTGTTCAAGTATTATTTATTTTTACACCTCTGTCTCAGCCGTAAACAAGGCTTAATACCCTTATCTTGTTTAAGGCGGAGACAGAGGTGTAACAGACATTATATTGTATAAAGCAAATTTAAAATAACTTCTGTGAGCATAGTTTTAAAAGGTAAATTTAAATGTGGGCGAATCAAAAAGTACAAGATAAGATTACTACGAGTACTACTACTACTACTACTATTTACTAATATTTTCGTACGATTTCAATCTAAAAGATTTATTATTTAAATCTAGTAAGTTTTACATATATTATTTACTCGTATGCAACAAGCAGAAGTAACATTCGTAGGGAAGAAGGAAATTTGTATCTAATGAATGACAATGCTACTTTCATCATCTGTGAATTTTTTAAAATACTCGTATATATTTTTTGAATCATGTATTTTAAATTTAAGTTTTATCATTAAAGAAATACATAAACTCTATAAGTCCATGAATTTAAATACAAACATAATATGCAAAAACTATGTTCAAGTTCAGAAAATACAAGTAATTTATCATAAGCCCAGTAATGTTTTTTTTTAGGTTAGATTTAAAATGTATTAGTATAAATCGTATAAGTATATTTAAAAATCACCAATATGCAAATTATCATGAAAATAGGTAATGTACAAGCGTCAAAAAATCCATTTGCAAATCGCCTGATAGCAGCGTTCCAGAAAGAAGGAGCATTGTCATGTTGAATGACGATGCTAATTCTCTTAGCTAGAAAAAGGCCGGTCTACTGGTCACGAGAAGTGTTTGAAGGTTTTTCTATAATCTGTTACATTACTCTACTGTTTTCAGGTAGTTAATTCTCTTTAAAAATAGAGGTTCTATACTTAAATGTACATATAAAAATGTAGGTATGTTTTTTGCATGCAGGTTAGAACTATGTTAGTGGTACTCAAGAAATCCTGACTACCAGTAACAGTACAGTCTTACCTATCCGTCTTGCAACAGTGATTATCGTGTACAACGATATTATTTATATTTATAAAATTTCTGACTGTTGGGAATGAATCTCGTCTTTGTTGAAGAGGGGTTGGGCATAGTCAGTGATAATTATTTTCTAATCTATTGAGTAAACTTGAACCTTCGGCCTGAGATGTAAAATAATTTAGATGTCAATACTTCTTATGTTATATATACACCTAATATACCTAACACCTGTACCAACTAACACCACTCGGTACTATAATATTAATTGACGTAGTACAGTCTTCACACAGTAGTACACTTCTAAGTGACAGAGTATAGTAGAAATTTGTCGAAACATCAACAGAAACAAATATGTACTTACTAGTATAACTTGAATGACCTAAAGTGTGTAAATTCCTGTAGTTGAATATCTTAGACATGTATAGGTAATATGACTTATGTTTGTTTAATTAAGACATGAGAGCTCTAGTTTTTTTAAACAAAATAGAGGTGTGAAGTAACTACTTACCAAATATAGACATTGACCTACTAGTCATTTGTAGTTATTTTATTTTAATTACTATCGTGATTAATTATATCAATAAATCTAATCATTATATATTTAATGATGGCACTTGCAATACTTTGAACAAATATTTGAAATTGATTAGAGCGACGTTAACGCCTAAAGGCCTGTACTTTTAAAGTATGTGTTGATTTTTCAATAACACAATTTTTTGTTCCGATACATCTGGTGAAATGTTAATACTTTTATAATTGCCTAAGTACTAGTAACAGTTACAGAAGCTATTACAATGTCAAATTACATATCCTGAAACTAAAATACAGCATTAGAAAGTAGGCTTAATTCATATGCATTGTTTTGATCGTCTAAAGACTACTAATTTTATACAATTAATCCTGTTAGCTATCATCCTGTCCAACATCATGGGGCGAACGCCTTGAATCCATCACAGAAGGCGCGCGCGCCTCGACTGACGCACACCACTACACTACCCACCCAAAAAGAGAAAAAGAAAATTTTGAAAAGGGAACACACCCATCGAGTACGACGATTGTCGGACTCCGCCTATACCCGCCGCCCGCAGAGGCCCTCCACCAATGGAAGGGCAGGTTGTGCCGGCCGCCGCCGAGTGCAGCCGAGGGCGGCCGATTGCGCGCGTTCACAACAAAAAGTCACACGACTGGTTTAGTGTCGGGTTGCGTCCCATCGACGCCGCATCACGTGCCGCGCTACTCGACGCACCACCTGCGCTTGCGCTCACCACATACCACTGTTTTTGTAATTCTAAATACAAAACGCGCTTACAAATCAAACTGCACATATATCAGTACCACATTTGTTTGTATTAGGACCTGTGACCTGTGATATTGTAAAGAATTTTCACAATTATCAATGAAAATGAACACGAAAACGGAATGGAGCTAATGATTTCAGTGTGTTTTTGCATCAGCACAGTATTTACAGTGATACATAGTGATAGTGAACGGCTTTGTGATAAGCATCAGATAAGGACAATCAAGGTATTTTATATTTTTTTTCTTTCACATTACAAAATTTGTGGCGGCATTTCTTTATCAGAATGATAAAAGGGATTGATAACGTTGATGAAATATTTATTTAATAAACAGGTTAATATCCTTTTTAATTTAAAGTTTTATTTATTTAATTATGTTCTTTAGATAATATTCATATATTCAAATAATGATATGGGGTCGAGATTACATTTTTTGATTAAGCTGATGGAATTGCATTAATAAATTATGGCATATTTCAAATTTATTATAGATAAATTATTAGTATTGTAGTTAAAACTGAAATTAAAGAAAAAATACTTAATCAAATACTTTAATTTTACATCATAAATGTAGAGTCGACTGTTCTCCCGTCGGGCACGAGCCGCGATCACATAAATATTTATTAGTGTCAAAATATGATTATAAAGAATAAAACAGATCAGTATTTTTATGACAATATTATTAAATTTATAACGAATAGAGCCTTCATATTATTAAGTACCTATTATGTCACGAAATTTATCATAATATGTAAAACAGTGCCTTTATCAATATGATGAATAAGATCAAAATAAAATAAAATTCAGAGACTTAACATTTAAAATGAATATTCTAAGTATGAATATTTATTAATTGAAACAGACTTGTACTTAGGGCGCGTAGTTTAATGTAGTTTAGTATAAAAGACATAAACGGGTTGGGTGATCAGAATTAATTGAATTACTTTTAAGAACATTAGGGAAATGGAATTTGCATATTCATTAAATAGTATTCAACGCTTGGTATTTAATTTTATTGCACTTGTTTCAATTTTATTGTATAGAATACTGCAATAAAACGTTTGTTTAGACCTTTTTGCAAGGTTATTATATTCGTATTCAATAAGGAAAAAATAATATTGAGAATGATATTAGGACCTATTTGTATTTAATTAAGCATGATAGTGGACTGATTGAAAAAAACTAGGATTAACAGGATTGGCATATATTTATAACAGTGTGTTCATGTTGAGAAACACAATACATGACATTATGTTTAATTTTTGATTTATTTTTACGTATCACTGTTTATTAGCATAACAATATGTAAGCTTTGCAATTGTTAGGTAATCTATTTTACATATTCTGCTAGGCACACACATATTGAACAAACTGTATGCTCTTGAATACACACATATAAATTATGCTATGCATGCGTGCGTGCGTGTATGTATGTGTGTATATAGTTAGTTTTGAAGATATTTATATGCCGGTATGTGACTGTTGGATTTCATACTTGGATAGAAGTAACATCGCTCTTTGTTCGAAGTTTCTCAACGGCCAATCAATGTCAATGGCATATCGTTTGTTTTCGGCCAATCCGACCGCCGCCATGACAGTTCGCGTTCGAAATTTGAATGCGTTCCGAGATGCGCAAACGCAAATCGATTAAGCGTCGATAAGCCTTCACGTTATGGTTGTGTATGTGTACGTACAAAGTTATCGTATCCGCCGGAGGCTTCTATGTAGTAAACCATTTCCTGTTCTATAATTTATAAAATAATTATAATCCAATAATATAAGCATTAGCATAATATTGACATAATTCTGCATTTTCTCACAGTCTGTATGTTTTGACAGTTTCGGTAACTAATAAAATAAGTTGACAAGTTATGTCGCCACTTATAGGCGGTCGACTAACAGCACATATACATCAGAATTTATCAACAAGTTTATTATAAAATAAACAAAATCAATAATAAACATTTCATTTGGGTAATTGATAATTGAAATAGATCGAATATTTTTTTAATGCTTGTATTAAACCCTTCAATAATTAATTTCGTGAGATAAGGTAATTTATTTTGCATAAACATGAACAAAATAAATACCATCTTAAAATATTTTAATGGTCCTTGAAAATTATTATCCTTATTATTTTACTTAGAAATTTATGGAATTTTTTCATGAGATTTGAAGACAAAAAAAATTACCCACAAGTAGTCTGTTTATTAATGAAGGCTATATTATAAATTATATAAATAGTTTATAGAAGTACAGAGTATGCAAATGCAATACGCGTGAAAATGAAGAGATTTTTGTTTGTTGATTGTATATTTCAATTAAACTATTTATTTTAATTCAGATATTTATTATTTCTGAATATTTCTGCTGAAATTGATGAATTGATCTATTAGATAATAATAATATAATAATAATATTGTACCACATTCACACAACGCCATCTAGTCCCAAACTAAGCAGAGCTTATACTATGGGTACTAGATAACTGATATAAATACATATATACTTTTTTTTTTTGTAAATACATACTTATTATACATAAGATAATAATGAAATGTAAAATATATAGTATTCATTAATATAAGTATTCTTGAAAATGGAACATTTTAATTATAACAATCATGGAAATCATATTCTGGGACATATTTCCTATAAATTTGAAAAAATATTAAAAAAAGATTAATTTTATATAAATAAGATTATTTTTTGTGTAAAATTATATACGTAAATAATTATATATTATGGAACTGATACCTACATAAAAAATTAAAATAAATAACGAATAAATTTATTAGATTATGTATGCTGCAGATAAAATCTATAAAGTATCTACAAAACTAGAACCTTATCAGTAGACAGAAATAGAATTGTATGTATAATCATTATTATAAATGTATGTATGTATTATTATATACACTTGAAAAGTGTGCTTTTATCATAATTTTGCATAATATTCTAATTTTGTCACATAAATTTAATAATGGAAAATACATTGGACCAAGGAACAGTCATGGATCAAAAGTAACATTTAGTGCAAAATATGTAATATTATACGCTTGCGTCAATCAAAATGCCTTAAACCATGGATGTAAACATTTCTTAGCATAAATAAAAATACTCTAATTGCTTCACCTAAATTACCAAAAGCATATAAAATTGAAATACAATTTGCCTACTTATTAAAACTTACCGATAATTCAAGTTAGAAATATGAACAATTGGATAATTGTCTATTTATGAAATTAAAATGTATATGTACGGAAATTATTATTAACACTTTAAATTACATCCAAAAAGGAAAACAAACATACATATACACACTTATGTCTTTAATCCTCAAAAGGACAGACATAGACAGACAATTTTAGACTTACCTTTGTAATAGGGGCCCAGCCCATTGCCATTAACCAGACTCCTACATTTCCAAATAAACATACTAATTTGTTTTCTAATTTCTACATATTATAGATAAATTACAACCAGACACAAAAGAAATGATCACGTCCATCAAGTAATATTTGTCCGGTTGGGAATCGAAGCCACGATCTTAGAAAAAAGACGACATCAAAATCTAGTATTTCGTACAAATTGCTCTAGTTTGTTGCTGTTTTGAGAAATGATTTTATTAAAGAATTACTTGGTTGACTGTACAACTACCGAGGTTTTTATTATCTCTTTAGCTCTTGTCCGTGGCTTCACTTGCGTCAAAATTATTTTTCACCCCTCGGTTAAAGTACTTTTGTAATGAATGGTAGGTTGCTTTTTGCACCTTTAACAATGTCCACGCAATATTGCATAGTGATAGGCTTAAAAACTAGGACGCGAAACCTATTAAACAAACAAACTCAGATTCAATTTTATGATATTATTTTACGATATATACCTATGCAATTATAATAGAATTAAATTATTAATTAACGATACTAAAACTCGTGTCTAATGTTTATTAATATATAAATAAATTTAAATTAATCGAATTAAGGCTGTTTCAAGCCAAGTCCATTTTTCTATGATCATTTTTATTCGATATCTAATAACGAATTAAAGCAAATTATGTGTGTATGTACACGCAGATCAGATCACTAATAAATGTAAATGAAGAGATAAACGCCACCAAAAGAATTAAGAGGCTATCAATAAATAAAAACCGTTGGTATTGATTTTATTGTACATATGTTAATATAAAAGGTATCGATCAATCTACAAATATACCTAGATTTTGTGCAAGTATCTTTTGTCAAATATTACCTTTTTCTTTGACTAATTGGAATACGTTTAAATCTGTTTATATTCAGGAAAAAGGGAAAGAGAGAGAGGACGAGAGAGAGAGAGACTTTATTGGCATAGATAAAGAAAACGTATAGACTTTTATCATTTTCTTTAATAATTTTATTACTTTTGTGATAAATAAAATATATCAATCTATTTGCTGCATCTGTCTTCATAAACTACTCGGGTCTCATAAATACTTATATGAGGTTGCATCTTCGTTTTTCTGTCTAATACTTTTACATGATAATTTAGCGTTTATTAGCTTTTACTAAAATATCATTTTACCGTTCAAGTAGTGCAAATATTTGCATAATTTAACATAAATAAAATCTATTAAACAAATAAATAACAAATTCGCTTTTTGATCTGCTTTGGTTTATGTGGACTTTTTGTAAGCCTTTTTACCTTTTTAATCTAAGTACGGTAAACTTGTGTGATGTTACTAGTGGCTGGTTTCTAGAATGGCCGATGCTTACCAACGCTGAATGCAATCGTTTTGAGATGTGACTAAAGAAGAATATGAAATTGGGTAAAGAAAAGGGATAGTGCGAGCGAGATAGCGTAAGGGATAGCAAGTGTCTCGGATGGGGGCTAAGACCATAGATCTCGTATTCTTATGAGTCCTTTGTTTGGATACCACTACATGTATATTCACCACTACGTGAGGGACTTCAGCTGACAATGATTGTTCAAATTCAATCTTCAAATAAATATATTGTTTTATTTGAAGATGTTTATATAACGTACCTATAGCATACACGTTAAATTTTCCATTTATTTATTTTAATTTCTAAGA